CCTGCTCCATGCCAGGCTGTCGGGTCCCCACGGAAGGGGTCCTCCAGCCAGCAACGGGCCTCGAGAGGGACCAAGCATCTGCCTCCGGCCCCGGCGCGGCCAGGCTGGACACAAGTAGGGGGGCAGACAGAAGGCTGTACACGGGAAGCTTCATATGAGTGTGCAGGGCAGAGTGTGCCCAAGTGCTTTGCACATATAACTGTGCACAGGACTCTGCCTGCCTGGAGTTCACCCAGCATCTACCCAGGGGCACAGACAGACCTGGCCAGGTTTCCCTGTGGGGACAGCAGGGTGCTGAGCTTCCCTACCTGCTCCAAAACCTGCAGGAAGTGAGAGCTGGGACAAATCGTGGACAGGTGGAGGACCACTGACAGCCAAGCAGCCTGCCAGCAGGATCCCAGCCTCACCTGCCTGCCCATGGAGCCTACAGACCTGCACCCACAGCCTGTGCATTGCCCCTAGGCACCACTTTAGCCATCCTAGCAGGGCCAATCTCATTTATTGCTGGCAGAGGACACAGCAGGGATCAGGGGCTCTTCACAGGATGACCTGGGGACTGACTGTTCACAGCTCCCTGGGGACTGTTCACCTCTCTGGGCTTTTGTCACTCCTACCATGTGATGAGTCTGGGGGTCCAAGTTTATCCTTTGGACTCCCTTGTCCAGCCTCACGCTAGGACAGAGCTGGGCAGGGCCAGTGCTATGCTCCCTCTTCCCCACAAATTAAAATGGACATTTGTAGGTACTGAGGGCTCATGAGGTGGCAGCCAGTGTCATATCAACCTGAAGATGTTCTTTAGATTCTTAGCCCCAGATGATGTGCTTAAAGCAGGGCACACAGCCTGAGCGAGGGCAGGGTCCTGTAGAAATCTACTGAAAGTGATGCAAGATTGCAATGTTGTGGGGGCAGCAGGAGAGCCCAGTGCTCTTGTGCCAGAGCAGGGAACCCACAGAGTGCAGTGGGAACCTGAAGCCCAGCCAACCCTTCAGGCATGTCCTGTGCCCACTGTGCCGTGCAGCACTGACTCCAAGGTCTTGACCACACAGAGCCCCTGCCAAGCACAGAGGTGACATGTAAATAGAGTTGGCTGTCTGGGAAAAAGCACCCACCAGAGATGATGCAACCATAGTGCAAGGGGCAAAGTTCTCAGCTGGCTGGGCTTGCTGGCAGCTCCCAGCACAGCCCAGGAATGTCAACAGGGAGGAAA